AATGGAAATAATAATATAATTAGTAATAATAATGACATAATGCCAATATTTAAATTTCTAAATATATTTATCACATTATTAATAACAGTACAATAATAAGAAATCATAAGTAATTCAAAATATAAAAAAAAAATTACATGATATTAAAATTTATATTTTACCCCATTGAATAAACTTTAACTTTTTTACAGTCATTCCAGTTTCGCTCAGTGCAGTTAACGGCCACATAAATACACTTCAATCGCAGACAGTCGCTAAATTAATTTGCATTAGTTATTAAGGCCAAGCGGCGCTTGGATGGATTTTGGGGCGTTCTATGAGTTTCGCATTGAATTGAGTTGTCTATGTCTATGGGGGAAGACGCTCACCTGTTGCCCCATCAATCAGCTGCTTAAAGTCGCACTCGAGTCGAGTCACCTCCACGAATGCACCTTAATAATTTGCCCACCTAAGCGCGTAAATAATGACGCGTTTCTTTACAATTTTGGAAGACTGATTAAACATGTTTATTATGTGTCGCACTTGTGTATTTACGCTTTTAACTGCGCCTTTCGCACCACCTGTCCAATCTGTCAACTGTTTCAGATCGTCGCTCATTACAATACGTCGGAGTCTGTTTCTTTGTTACGTTTTGTTTGTTTGTGTTATTTTTTGCGTTATTTGACAATTTAATTGGATTAAATTCATTTGTTGTGACGCGTACGACCTGTGGCTCTCAAACTGTGCCAATGACTCTGCAACTGTGCTGCCGAACGAGGGGAGCTTAAGCAGAAAAAAAAAAAACTGTTTACCGTGTGTTTCATTAAGATATCTCAACCAAGAGTCCAGTTCATATAGGCAGCTATATGGTGCTCCATTCAAGCTGTTGCCGACATATAATCTATTTCAATAATATATCGCAGCTGCGAGTCTAGTTACGATAGTAGTTTAAGTAGATAGGTTTATCTTTTTGTTTAAAACATTTATTTTCTGCATTTACTTTACCGTTAGATTTAAACAATATTCAATCTTGTTATGGGCAACTACTACAAATACTTAATTGTCTACGCTTGACACGCTTACTACTAATAATTTGCATTAATTACACACCGTAATTATAATATTTATAATTATAATAATNTGTGTTGTATGCCGCTGGAGGTCTCAATAAATTTGGCATCGCGTGAGGCAGCCAGCGTTTTTCCCTCTGTGTGTGCGTCAAAGCATGAAACATGAAATATTAAATGTGAAACGAGAGTTGAGAAATGAGAAATCATAATTAAGACAGGATACATCCGTCTAGGCGTCTGTTTTTATTTAACAAGAGGTGAAAGCCTGAAGGATTCACTCCTATTAGTCAGCACAAATAGCGGGGCAAGGCTTAGTATTGTATTTATATTGAATTGAAAATTGTAGTAGACAGTAATAATAATAATAATAATCATCATCATCATCATCGTAATATAACGTAATAATAATCAAACTTTTGCATATTTGTTCATACGGAAATTAAAAACGGAACACGCTTAATTAACACACATACAGCCATACATACATACATACATAGATACACACACGCACACTCGCTCACACTCACACTCACACACATACAATTTAATGCTATTTGTAAATGTTTTGTTAATTTGTTTGCTGTTTCTTTTTACAATGTTTTTGTTGTTGCTTTTTAATTTATAGCTTAACTATGTTTTTATTATTTTGTGTTTTTTTTTTTCTCCCTTTTTTATTTTATGCTTAAAACTATTTAACTTAAACATTGATTTGATTTTCCGTGAAACGTGTTGAGGTTATAAATTCCATTTTGTTGTGGTTGTTGATCTTGCAAAGGATTCAAATTTGGAAATATATTTTACAATAAAATTGAACTAAGAATTGAATCTTCTCTTCATGTTCTTTAATAAAAACAAATAAAAAACAAAAACACTTGCAGTGCAAAGAAATTGGATAAAGTTGCAAAAAGTTAAGAAAATATCGAACGAAATACTCTAATGGAGGGCCTTCTCTTATCTCTCATCTCTTTTTAACAATACAAGCGGCAGCTCCCGGGCTAAACGATTTGCGAGAACTCCTTAGCCGGACTGAACAATTTTCGAGTAATCTTTCTACATAATGGGCTATACACGGATTGGAGCAAGTAAGGCGGGAGCACGTTCGCATTTAACATCTTAAATGCAGTTGGGCAAACAGTTTTCACATAATGGGATCCGGACCCTGGCCCTCTAGATCGGAAACCTGACTCTGATAGAGCAACGCATCTTGATACGCCTTCTTCACGGCCTTGCGCTCCGCTGGCTTGCGGGACTCCACCAGCTTTTGCTGGTCCAGCTGCTTGTCGATGCCCAGGATGTCCAGCTTATTGGCGGGCAGCCATTGCCACGTCCGTTTCACGTCGAAGAAGAGCACCAGAAAGACAACATCGTCCAGACAATTCTTGCGCAGGGCCAGCACATCCGTTGGTGGGGCCGGCAGTGGCACGCCATTGTAGACGAATCCCTTCGGCGTTTTGGGATCTAGGATCAGTGCGGGATACCACGGATAGCCACGGCATTTGGCCCACACCAGTTGCAGTGGCTCCAGCGCTGCCTTCTGGTTGCTATTGTTGTGCCGCACATGCACTTCGGTCGCCGTCTCCTCCAGTTCGTGGTGCGCTTTGCTGGCCTTGTTGTTGTTCGTCACGGTGGCTGCTGTGGTGGTGCTTCTACGCGACTTTATGCTGTTCACTAAAGGCGACGCATTGGGCGTGGCTGATCGCAGTTTGCCCGCCTTGCGCAACAGCGGCGGCGGCGTTGCCGTTGAGCTWGTCGATTCACTTAGATTGTTGCGCCGCTTGCCACGCCCACGGGCGGCTGCCATGGCACCGCCACGCCCTTGCAATGGCGTGGGCGTGCTGCGCGTAACTCGCGCATTTTTCGCATCCAGCTGGCGCTGTTGCTGCTCCTCCTCATCCTCCTCGTCATCGTCCTCCTCCTCATCATCGTCGTCGTCATCGTCGCTGTCGGAGCTGCTGTCGCTGCTACTGATCGCCATGTTGCCATTGCCCTGCGTATTATTCAAGCTCGCGTGCTGCAAATCCATGGCATCTGTGGTGCAGTCCTCCTGCGAATCGTCGCGCATCGCATGCGCCTTCGTGCTATCCGAATCGCCGTCGTCGCTGTGCGCATCGCCATCGCTGGCCTCATCGCTATCGAAGTCCGAGCAGCTGCCCGACATGCTGAAGTCCGAGCAACTGCTGCACGGACTGCTCGACTGGGAGGGCGCATCGTCGCTCTCGCTAACATCCCGCTGATTGTTAGCTCGGTACACCCGAAAGCTGTCTGGAATGCGCTCGAATGGCAGCGCCGGATCCGCCGACGCTAAGGCAGGTATGGACTGAACCGTGGTCGGCGTCGTCATCGTCGTTGCTGCTGCCGCCGCCGCTGCTGCTGCTGCTGCCGCTGGGTTCGGTGACTTCTTTGGTGACGTCGATGGCAAACGTCGAAAACGGGGTGGCCGCTTAGGCGACTTGGACATGCCCAAGCCTGCACCCAGGCTCAGGTTCAGCTTGTTGCTCATGGACAGCGCTGCGGAGGTGAGGCTGGCGCCTGCCACGCCCATGCCAACTGCACTCGCTGTGCTGTTGTGCGGCGTCAATGCAAAGCTGCTCATGGCTGTCGGCGTCGCAGTCGCTGCATGCAGCGAAGCATTCATTGCGCTGGAGGCGGCGGTGGCTGCGGTTGTCGTCGCACTCGAACTGGCGCTCGTCGACTGCGTGCTCAATGACTGCGAATTGTGGTGCTCCTCCTTGACAGGCGTCGTCAGTGGCTCCGATGGTCTCTTGAGTGCCGCCTGCGACTTGCGGGTCAGTAAAATGGCCGTTCTAAAGGATGCAAAAAGTAAGCGATAAGTGAATAAGAATTGAATTGACCGTGAATTATTTCGCGAGAGTATACCTGACTTGAAAATACCTTTCAGTTAATATAAATCTTATACTCCGACCTATTTATCATGTTCTCAATTTTGTTACTCTCATAATTTAATTTCGCGAAAGTACCAGCTATGATTCATATAATTTTAGATTGTGACGCACGGATTGTCTTCTCTTTTTGGACAGTTCAAAAAACCCCCCATCTTTGCTTATTTATATGGGGTACGCCCTCTTAATTGTACGTTTTTGGCGGTATTTTCCCTATACTTTCAACTCACTTTTTGGGAACTCCATCTCAGCTTCTGCTATACAACTCAAATTATTAAAAGCTACTGGGATAACTAAGTATTCTTTCTATGCTATGCCACTATATATATATAGAATAACTATCCGATTATATATATGTCCACACTATTTATAATAACAGTACTCAGAAACATAGTTACTATAAATTACTAAAGTAACCTATGCTATACATAAATATATATAGATAATTGCCAACTCTTCAAAATCTGACATCCGACTATGCTCGACTCGACGACATATTCAATCATACACGAATATAAAATTGAGCTCATTTTAAGACATATACAGACAATATTAAAGACCTCGACCTCTTCTAACGCACCTTCGATTAATGCCCACGGGTGAGCTGCTGTTGTTGAGACTCTTGACAGGACTGCAGGGCGGCGTTTGAACCATATGACCAGTGTCTTTGCTGACATTATCGTCCGCCATCGAATCGTCATCCGAGTCATCCTCGTCGTCCTCATCTTCATCATGTTGCTGGCTCTGCGGCACATCCTGCGACTCATCTAAATCCATGGCGCTGCTATTAAGACGTTTGCGCATTCGTTTCTTCGAGGGCTTCACTCGCGTCTCTTCGTTGTCGTCGTCGCTTTGTGAGTTTGCGTGCGATGCATAGCGCTAAAAGGGATTGCCATTAATCAACTAATCCACTTGGAATATGTGCAATTGTATACTTACCGCTGCAAAGCGCGCCTTTTGCAGGGTTTTGCGCATTCGATTGATTTCCAGGCGGATTTGCTTGATCTTCTTCGTCCGGTAGCTGGGATTCTTGAGCACCTGTGACTTGTCGGCCAGTATGAGCAGCTTTTGCACCACATCCTCGCTGGGCGGCGCCGACAGCAGTTGTCTTAGTTCCTGCTCCACCTCTCCCTCCACGTGGTCCACATGGATGCGTTGTCCACGCTCCAGCAGACCATCCCGCTGCAATTCCTTGCGCACCTGCACGAAGAGCGGCGCTGCTTGATCTCTCATCCGAATGCCAGCTCTATAGAACACTGTATCCTTGTTGTTGTACGCCAGACAATTCTGTATCATCAGATCGAAGTCTGCCTCCAGCTGTTCGAGTTTCGTGTAACGGCAATCCTTGAGCTTCGCGCGCATGGTGCCCAAATCCATGGGCTGCTTGACTATGTCCATATAGTCGGGCACCTCGTTGGTGTTCACGGGCTCTCGGAATATCTCCATGGTGTCGCGCGTTTCCAGCGCATCCAGCAGCTTGCTGAGCGCCGATTCAAGCGGATTCAGTTGCAGCATTACAACCTCCTCGGAGATTTTTACAAATGCCACCTTGAGCTTCTCACGCTTACGCACCAGCTCACAGAGCAGACGCGCTCGCTCCAGATCTTGACGCAAGCACTGCCAGTACTTGAGCTGCCGGTACAGTTCCTTCGTGTCCGGCGAGCCTTCGATGCCGTTGCGCTGAATCACCCCATGATTGTTGCCCTGACTCTGCAGCCGGCGCAGCAGCGGCACTCCGTTGCGATAATGACGCTTTAACGTCCAGTAGGCAATGATGCGATCAAGGAATTCCTTCTTCTTCTGCATGTGCACCATGCCCGCGATCTCGTGAACACGATCCGGCGGTATTGTCGGTATTAGCACCACGGGCGCCGTTGAACGCTTCTTGGCCAGCGCTTTGCGCGCCTCGCGCATCTTTAGACGCGTATCCTCAAAGTCGGGCACATTTGTCTTTAGCTTTGCGTCGGCGGGGGTATGGGCGTGGCAGTAGGCAAACTTCTGCACATGCACCGAGCTATCGTTGTGGCCATCCTTGACCGTGTCCATGGTCATATAGAGGCCCGCCTGCTGGGCGCAGGTGACATGAAAGGCGGCATAGCAGCTGTTGCGATGGCACTGTATGCAAGCGCCCAGACCCTTCTCTTTGCACACATAGCAGGTGAGGCGCCACCGAGCAGCCGGTATGGTCTCAATAGAATCTGCCGGATAATGAACAGAAATTGGCATTTAGATCTATCTTAATTAGTAGGGTATTTGAGCGGCTTACCAATTGGCTCCAGGAACACGGTATTGGCGAAGCGCACCTCTGGTATCCACAATGCACATACCACGTGCGCCCACTGGCCGTGATCCGTTTGCTTGAATGCTCCGCCCGCATTCGGACAGAGCACACAGTTGACCGCCTTGCTGGGCGATTGAAGGCAACGACGGCACAGCCATTGGCCTTCGGGTATGTAGGGCACACCGTAGCAATCCTGATGCACAGCCAGGTTGCACATGTCGCAGAAGAGTATCACGTTGGTGTTCTGGCACTCGCCATCTAAGCAAATGCAGCACACAGCATCGTCATCCACCTCAACGCCAGTGGGCGTGCCATTTGCGGCTGCCTGGAAGTGAGATTCCTTTTCGAGGCGGTCCATCAGCAACTCCATGGTATCAATGCTAACAGCATTGAGATTTTGCTTGGCGCGCAGCTCGTTCATATGCTCCAGCCAAGCGGTATCCTCTTCGTCCACATCGTATTCTATCTCGCCGTCCAGTTCCTCGGCCGACTTCTCAATGAAGCGATAGTAAGCCAAGGGCCTGGGCGGCGCATCAGGCACATTGTAGTCATTGATCTCACGGACATTCGCAACGGGCACCTGCACCTGTCCCCACGCTGCATTCTCCTCCAGTGGCGGCGCGTCAGCATTCAGTATACAGCCACGCTCCACCAGCTCGGCAAACTCCTCGTCGTCGACCAGTGGCAGCGGCTCATCAATACCCAATCGTACGCTCTTGCCATCGATATTAAAGGTAACCGTACCCTCCTGCTCATTATACGAGACCAAAGATTCCGGATTCGTAGTGCTCCTACCATTGCCGCAACCATTTTCTCCTTCAGAATTACCACCACCTCCTCCACCGCCGCCACTGCCGTTGTCTTTGGGCGTTGAGTGGAGCGCGCGTGAAGAGCGCGCCCTTTTTCGATTGGGCTTGAGAATGGGCGTCAGGGGCTGTGGATTGTCGTGGTCGTAATTGGTGAGATGGCCCTGGAGGCCGACCAATGTTTTATAACTGCGATCACAGTCGCGAACCGGACAGGCGAACGGCGGCTGGGACTGTTTTGATTTCACACCTTTGCAGTACTCCACGACATCAAAGTCGAGTCCCATTGCTGCTGCTGCTGCTGCTGCGTGTTGTATTTGTATTGGTGTTATTCCTGGTGACAAGTGGTGTCTGTGTACGACGTGCGGCTTCTCATATATACATCTTACTTGTTTGTTAACGCAACGCGCGCGCGAATCGCTTGTTTACCCTTGTTATTACTAAATTTTCGCTGGCTTGCGAATTTCTGGCGAATTTTAACAATGTATTTGAGTATTTTACAGCACCGGTTCGGCCAGCATGCCTGCTAGTTGGCTAACAACACTGCGTATATCATTCGATATACTCGATATTTGCTCATCGTATGCAAAATTATCACCCAAAATGTATAATAAACACAAAGACCATAGGCTTAATCAGATTTGCGTGGTACACTTATTTGCATAGGCTTGGTTGCAGTTCATAAAACAGTCATGGCATGAGACATCATTTGACGTTTTACAGCACTGCAAACACGAGCAGCTGCAACGAGCACATTTGTCATAAACAAAACTGCCGGTATCCATATGTCAATTTATTAAATAAAAACAATTTATTAGCATTGCAAGCACACGTTTAATATCGAAAAAGCTAAAAATATTGAGTAAATCATAAAAAATTATTAATTTGCGCGGGAAAACAGCTGGGACAGTGCTTGTTAATATCGCCATAGCAGCGTGGAGTTGCCACTTGGTATCAATCGATAGTTGTTTAGTTCATATCGATATTTTTTATGTCATATCTCGCTTGTGTTGTAGGGGCGACGCGCTTCTCATTGCCGCCATTTGAAATAAACGGAAAGAAGTCGAAAAGTAAAAGTTGTTCTGTTATTTAATTATTTATTGCGCTATTTGTTAAAAGTGTGTGCACAAAATGGACGACCTACTGGGCGTAATGCAAACTGTGTCCAAACTCCATATAGAAATGGAAGCAATACGCAAGGTATACAAAGCGAATTTTACAGTTACATCAAGTAGCGACACTGAACTCGATTTTCTCACCAGACCCATTTCGAGGAGTTGGACCAGTTGTTCTTTGGCATAGCTTCCGCCATGGCGGAGGTGAAAATCACTGAAGTTGCGGCAGCAGCGAAGCCCAGCAATAACAGCAGCAACAGCTCTATCACGCCGCAGCAGACGAAGAAGCGAGCCAAGCGATTGACGTCTTTAGCCGAGGATGATGGCGATGGTAAATTGTGAAATTGAAATCGAAGTGAAATGTTCCATGCTAATTTTTATACTAAATAGCACCCGCAGATGTCCCCGACGTCCAGGTCCCACAGCGACAGAGCGCTCGCTTGGGTAACGCCCAGCTACTGGCTGCAGCCGGAGAGGAGGAAGAAGAAGAGGTGGTAAATACCACAGGCACGCTGATGCCGCCACCGCCAGCGCCTGCTGCGATTGTAGCTGAGACCAGCATGAGCAGCGGACGGCCACAGCGAGCGGCCAAATTGCGCTCTGAGAAGAACCTCAAAGAGCCGCCGCTAAATGTAAAACTCCGTCGACCCAGCAATGAGGAGATGGTCAAGATTAAGCTAGAGAGTGAGCAGCGTGCATCACAAATGCATACAATAAAACTACTAAACGTTCCCACAGAAGAATCTGTGGCTGCCAAAGCACCAGAGCCCGCCGCCGTCGGGTCAAAAGCAAAGGACAACGAGTTGTCCACCACAAATCTGCGTGTGAAGGTCAAGCGTGAGAAAATGAGCTACGACAATGCGGAAGCTACAACCACTACGCTGGAATCAACAAAAACTCTCACAAACGAATCAACCATACTGTCAACCACAACAACAACAGCAAACAGCACAACAACTATAAAGAAGGGTCGCAAAAAGAAGGAAACCCACAAGCCCATCAAGGTGGAGCGCCTCAGCGATCTGGACAAGAATTTGCCAATCGCATCGCGTACACGTCGTGGCAGCAACAACACACGCAACTCCCAGGAATCACAAGCAGCTGCTCTACCTCAAGCTTCCATCTACGAAGATGCTGTGGAAGATGTGCCCACTGCAGCAGTGCCAACAACTGGTGTTGTAATGAACGAGACTGTAACCTTGCCCAATGCCACATTCGATATCAATATGCCCACATCGAATGCCACAATGTGTCTGGGCGACAATCTGGCTGGCAATGCCACGTTCCAAGTGGAATCCGAAAAGGACAACTCGATGAAGACGGCGCGTGAGGAGAACAGTTTGCCCGATGGGGCGCAGGATACGAGCTTGTTGACGGAGGACGAGTCGCTGCAGGAGGCGCCCAAAACAAAAATTCCTGAGCAGCCCATACCCAAATCCCTGAAGGGCATCAAGCTGCCAGCGCGCACGCACGAACTGTTCAAGTAAGTCATATACGGAATTACAAGTATTATAATAATATATAATTCTCTTCTTTCAGTCCCTTGATGCAGAGCCCCGTGAAAATGCGCGTGGAGGCCTTTGAGAATGCTGCCCAAGCTCAAAATAATCTACGCTCCAGACGCATTAGGGATGCCGTACGTTTTTTAGATAAGCTTTTCTCTTTTCTTTCTTTGTATAATACTCTTTCTTTCTGCTTTACCAGGGCGCGACTGGTTCGAGCACAACGCCAGTCATTGGCAAATTACAGGCTCCAACGCTTGGACGTTTCCTGACTCCTACACAGAGCTCAACCGCAACTCTGACAAATTCAGCGCAGCCCAAGAAGGCGCCATTGAGTGCCTGCAAGGCCACAACGCTAATGAAAACCGCGACGGGTACAAATCTTAAGTCTGCCAATTCGGGCTCCAGCAAGACCTTAACACGTGAGAACAGCGGTGAGGACTTCCGCAAGGGCTTGCACCAGCTGGCCGAGGAGCGTAAGAAGCAGCGGGAGCAGAAGCATTTGCAGGCGGCACAGTTACGCGAGGCTAAGGAACGTGAGCGGGCGGAGCGTATGGCTAAGTTGGCCAAGGAGCGCGAGGAGAAGCGCCTGAAGAAACAACAGGAAAAACTTCTGGAGGAACGCAAACGCATGGAAATGGAGGAGCTGCAACGCAAGTTGAATCAACAAGAGGAAGCCGAACGACTGAAGAAGGCCAAGGCCAAGGAACAGGAACGCGAGTTGCTGGCGCAAATGAAGCTGCAGCAGCAGCTGCAGTCGGCCAAGGCTAAGAAAATGATGCCGCCACCACCGAAATCGAAATACACATTCGAAATGCTGCACGAGGATGACTCCACCGATGATGAGGGCAAAGTCTCCTACAAGAGGCCACCGGTGCCCACCTGGAGTCGCTGTAAGCTACAATACATCATGTCCCTATTATATAATATACTAATGCAAATCTCTTGCAGCTCACGTGCGCGGTGCAGGAATGATTCTGCAAACGTTTTGCCCAACAGACATCATCGATAGCTTCTTCTCGGTGGCGCCACAAACGCCAGATCTGAAGAACATCTTCCCCAACATCGATCCCAGTCACTTGAAGCGGAACTCAAGTGTGCTCTGGTCCACGCCTCCGCGCTATTCCGAGCTGCCCAAATACTAGGCAAAGAAGCCATCATGTTCTGTTTAACTTAAGTTAATATTCCAGATTGCAATCAATTTATCTTATTGTTTCACTCGGCAATTGCCGTTTCGTGTTTTACCATTGCTTCACATTTAGTTTCGCTACACAAATTTTACTCAAATACATATATTGAATAAATTATGAGAAGATAGATAAACAAAGTTTTAACGCAGCGCCCACTGACCGCAAAATGGAATCAGGCGCTCAATGGGTAACCCTCAAGTACCGTTTGATCATCTTTCAATTTGACATTAATACCCAAGAGGCTAAGAACTATTAAAGCTGCCGACGTGCTCAATTATGGCCAGTTGTGAGGGTTTCCCTATTAACAGGTGGCAAACAATAATAAAAAATAAATAAAAATAAAATGGAATAAAAACTGGTTAATACTGTGAAGGTAAGTGCACAGAAATTTCACTGGTCATGGCCAATGGGTTTTCTGTCTTCGATTTCGATTGTCTTCTTCTTATCACTTGTTGTTTTTTCTCTTTTAAGTTTTTTTTTCTCCTTTTTGCTTGGCTGCCAAATGAGGTGACATGAAAAACGAAATACCGCCAGCAAGATTCGTGATCGGCTCCTCTTGTATTTCATGCTCAGGTTGTGGCTGCTGCTGCTACAGCTCCTCCCACTCCTTTTGTGGTGGGTGCAAATGCAATCGTATACTCGTGGTAAGCCGCAAACGCAATTGTGACTCGTGTAATAGAGGCGGTTTGCTCAGGCATCGACGGTGGCGGCGTCGGCACCAGAGAAGACTCCATAGAAATGGAAAACGAAAAATTGCAGGGTTCGAGCATTACAAGCAAGCGTAGGGTATATAAGGGACTAGGGACTCATAAATATGGCAAATACATGCATATAAGAGGATAACATTTTATAAATATACTATTTTGTTGTTTATTGAATTTTCTGTAATCCGAGTTTAATGAAATGCACACAATATTAATTTATATTCACACATTTATGTATGTACACATGTATGTATGTGGGTGAGTATATTTACAGTTGCACTTCCAGCTGGAAGTTTGCGTATTTCTCTCTCCTTGTTATTATTGGAAGCACATCTCAAATTCATAATCTCATATGTATGTGTGTGTATGTTACTGATCTCATTCCACACTAAAACTTCAATGGAAAGGGTAGAGTATGTAAAAACGTTGTAAGCATTAAAAGCGAAGGACCGCCCTATGCAAACACACACACACTTGCTGTACAATTCCGTTAGTCCCTCTTATATGAACTTGCTATTCCGTTATAATTATTGTGTTTGCGTATTTATGTATATACAATACAAAATTATGCAATCTCAATTATTGTAATTATTATACACACAAATTTTTTAAATGAGCTAAAACCCAATAATTAAATGAAAAAACAAAAAAGTTCATTGTGGCCTGAAGCAAGTCTCGAAGCTACGAGGAAAACACATGAATGTATTGGTTACATATTTGGACGAAAGCGAAATGTATTTAGATGCAATCCACCAATAATGTATTCGTCAGCAGCAATATTTCGGATTGACAATGAATAAAACTTATGATAAGACTTATAAAACAATTTTAATATCTAATTAACTAACTTTATTAGAAAAGCAAATTTATTTGGCATTGTATTTGTTGAACGTATGACAAATGCAATGTGTGCATACTTGTATAGGGCATCAAAGGTCTCGCCTATGCACAACAACTTCCCATTCCTTGTTTCCAGTTTTCATTTTCAATTGCTTAGCGGCCTTTGTCTTTGTGCACGCCTAA